AAATGATAAGCGGGATACGGGAGTCTGACAAAACAATTAGCGGGATCCGGGATTAGACCCCCCAATGAGACCCCCTATAAAGAGAGCACCTGTTCTACATATGAAAATATGGTTCCTTTACAAAGGGGGTTTAAAGATAAGTTAGATTAGATTAGATTAGATTGCATCTGTAAAAACAATAAACGTTTGTTTTCGGATACTTATAATATAATCAGAAACCTTATCAGATCTTATCATGCATTTAATATAAATTATCATATATTATGAAAAAAATGACCATTTTCGGTGATTTTGGTTCTTTCTCTTCATAATCTTTTCGGTATACGGAATGCTAGTCAATTCGTTCCAAGTCCGATTCGTTCCAAGCCAGTTCGTTCCAGATTTGGACAATTCGTACCAAGTCAATTGTCAATTCGTACCAAGTCAATGGTCAATTCGTTCCAACTAATTTAGTTCATTGTTAATCAGACTTAACAATTTGTTCCAACTTTTTTTTAATGTATATGTCCGTATATCACTGGATTTGTGTAAATTAACCTACAGTGCACGGCAAAAATCGGCAATTCCATGTACATTGTTTCTGTATATTTCATATAAAAGGTCATTTTTCAATAATAACTTTGGAGGCATTTATGGTTTGATTTTAACAAAAAATTGTGTTGAAAAACGCAGATTTATGTGTACTATACATGTATATGTTTATTCAGTCATACATTCTTTTGGGTTGTCTTTGTTCGTTTTTTTTTTCCTTTTGTCAACCTTTATCATAATTCGGGATAATCTTGTCTTATGCAATTAAAACTAAGATGGAGGTTTACAAGTTTATTTGATATGTATGGCATTGACACATGATAATAACAACATACAACAATAACAGTTCATAACAGTTCATAGATAATATTGTTCAATATTCAGACATCAGTATTTCATTTTACTTTCTTACTGGTCAACGCATGGCACAACGATCAGTGCAACAGATGTCATCAGCTGGGTAACTGTAATTTGCTGACTTCTATAGCTGTCCCAAAGCTCCATCAACTTGGACTGTGATGTCTTTGTGGCTGCTCTTTGGTAGCGGGTGAGTTTGTGTTCCGACACCAACTGGATCTGCATGGGCAGGTACCTGGCTTCATCGCTAAGAACTTTCAGCATGACATAAAAGTGAAGGCTTGCACCCTTGGCCTTGCGGTTGAGTCTGTTGTGCCAGCCTTCGACATCGTTGTTTGTGCGAATAGGTTGTCCAAACACAGTCCAAGCGCTGATAGGAAAGATGGTGCTGTTTATCCATCTGCGTTCAAGGTAGGTCAGCAGGCGATACATCCGGTTGTTAGGCTGTACACGACTTTTCAGCTTTTGGAAGGCTGCTGGAATGTGCTCTTTTGGCAGGTAGGGAAGAGCCATCAGTTGACGAATAAACCGGTGCACGTTGTCTTGCTTAGAATAGGCGACCTATAAAGATTAAAGAACATGTTAAGTACAGAACATAAGTATGAATGTATATATTTACTATAAATATAAGCACAACAATGTTAATTCTGCAAATTTGCGTAAGTACATTATATATGTATAATATTACAAGGCTCCGTGCTGAAGACCGTACTTTGACCTATCATAATGGTTTACTTTTACAAATTGTGACTTGGATGGAGACTTGTTTTTTTTTAATATACTAGTATACTCAAACATCATGCATTTTAACTTGTGTAAATATAATCACTAACTCTGACTCTTATTCTTATGATTTTTAAGAATGTGTAATACATACAAATATATTGCTCATTGTTGAAGGCAGTACTTGTTAACGTCTGTGTCATTTTATCTTACCAATATTGTATACATTTTTTTTAATATACTAGTATACTCAAACATCATGCATTTTAACTTGTGTAAATATAATCACTAACTCTGACTGTTATTCTTATGATTTTTAAGAATGTGTAATACATACAAATATATTGCTCATTGTTGAAGGCCATACTTGTTAACGTCTGTGTCACTTGCTAAATTCTGAAGAGATGTCTCATTGTAAATCCTACCATAAGCTAGGCGTTATATATATTTGAAATAAAGAATATGAAATTAATGATATACCTTCTTAGTGAATGAGTAACCCCTGTTGTCCACTAGCTTGTCTCTGCCCTTTTCTGTACCACGGTTGATGACTGTGTAGGCGATTACTAGCTCTTCTGCAGGTACATCGTTAAAGGTGTTGTCGGCCACGATGGTGCTCTCGTTGACTACACTCGGTTCCTGGAACGATCTGCTTGTCAAGTCGAACGATATAGCTGCTGGCACACTATCGTCTGTGGAGTCGTCGTCACTGGAACCTGTTGGTGATGGTGGTGGTGATGGACCGGCTGGTGAAGAGAGCATTGGTCTTGCCCTAACAAACATTCCCCTTGGTTCGTCGTCGTCGTCGGAAGATGAACCTGTTGGTGATGGTGGTGGTGATGGACCAGCTGGTGAAGAGAGTACTGGTCTTACCCTAACAAACATTCCTGTTGGTGATGGAGGGGGGATGTTACAAAGCCCATACTAAAGTTGCCAAGTTCACCGTTGTCAATGGAGGAAGCAAGTCTTGTACTTTCACCCACTGGTGTACACTTCTCACATACATAGCTTATGTTGGTACTAGAGCGTACTGCTTCTCTGTAGACTGCTATACTGACACCTATAACAATACAAAGAAAATACAGTGAGAAATATTTTACTGTTCAAAATATTGAATTAAACTTATTAAGAACAATTTCATAAAAGACTTGTCGATAAAAGTAAATTTGTTTAATAATTGATTTAATTTTCTGATTCACTTATTGGTTTGCAAGAAAATGGACATTCAGTTAATATTTTTATAATTGGATTAACTTGTTAATTGTGACACGTGTACGGGTTTAGTGTTAAGGGCATGACCTTTTGTAATATTGCGTAATATATAAATTAGTTTTTCTTGAAATTGCAAGCTTTACAAAACGTGAAAAAGATCAATACAAAACATTCATTGCTTAATTGCTTAACCGAATAAAAAACAATAAGCCATCTGTAATTTAAATTCTTAAGTACTTTAAAGGTTTTATACACAAAATTACACTTTATCTGTCCTGTATTTTTCTTATTTAAAGCTGATTTTTTGTCAAAGGTACATGAAATCAGAAAACGTCAACAACATTGTGCGTAACGTCATAACAATATAAATCACGCATGTAATACCTCATTAAACAAAATGTCGATACCCGTAATTGGATTAATTAACTTGTTAATTGTGACACGCGTACAGGTTTATGGCACGTGCATGCATGGCTTATATATCGATAGAATTAATAAATAGATAATATATGAATGAATACTTTATTGCAAAAAGCATATATATGCATATGGTAGAGCAACGCAGTTTTTATGTAAAACAGACTTTAATTTAAATAAATACTGTAATTTAGTAATGTTTGGCCAAGAACAATAGAAATTGGACAAATATTTAGGCCTAATTGATCTATAGACAGGGCATGCTAATAAAAAGTGGTATTCGTTTTCAACACACTACATATTACAACATTGTTAAAGGCCGTACAGTGACCTATCGTTGTTAATTTCTGTGTCATTTGGTTTCTGGTGAAGAGTTGCCTCATTGGCAATCATACCACATCTTTTTCTTTTATATAAGGTACAAAAAGCTGAGCAATTAGAAATGTAATGGTATTCGTCGCCATGAGTAATTATATTGTTAAAAACTGTTAAGTTTACAGTAACTATGGACTATTGTTATATTAATCTATAGAAAACAAAAACAATTTAACTTACCAGTTCCACAGGTTCTGTGAGTCCAAGCATCACATAAGTCACAAGACAAAGCATGTTGGCGAACACGAACAAAACGATGACAAACAACACACGAAGATTCCATGATGGAATATAAAAATAATATATGGAATTAGGAATCTTTTATAATATCTATGTTTCAAAATTTATTTTTCATTGGTTTGAAAGAAGTTGACCTATCAAAAAATAGGTATTATAATTCCACACCTCCAAGCCCATACTTTTGTTTCTTTTGTTTTCCATCTTTCTTTGAAGTTACTTTTTTCGGTTTCGTACAAGGAAACTGAGTAAAATTTTATATTGTAAAACATACACAACCACTGCTAATGAGTAGTAACGATGCACGTAAGAAAAACATAGTAAATGTGGTATGGCTTCAATTTTTATTTACAAGCATTTATGACCCAAGCTTTGACCCAAGCTAAGTACGGCATTATTCTTTTGATGAATGCATAAACAACTATTCTGTGCATATCATTGAAATACAATAATCAATTATAATGATAACGATTTCCTTGAAAATCACACTAGTTAGTACTTTATTCAGATTTAAAATATTAAATTGTCATGAAATACTAACCTAATATCATTCCCAATATCTCTTTCTTCCCAATTAATAAACCATAGAATTTTTTTTAGATAACTATTTCTATACATTTTATATAAATACAGCATTAAAAATTAAAATAATAAGGCTATTTAAATGGTTAATATTGTTTAATACTGTTCTTGAAAAAGTTGGAACGAACTGACCAAGCAACTTGGGACGAATTGGTTGGTACGAATCGGAGTTGGAACGAATCATCCAGATACCTACTGGTGTACTCTGCAGAAGAGTAATGTTTAGGCAGAAAGTAAATGTACAGAACCATTTTTAATATGTCAGTTCTTAACAAAATTATTTGGAGCAAGAAATCACCAAAACGTAACATTAAAAGGACCACTTTTCTACGCCTAAATATAAAATATATTCAGAGATGTTTTGTTCTGTTTTACTCCGTTATACATTTTCTGAAATTTGTATATTCTGGGTCATTGTTTGTATAAAAATGTCTGTATTTGATGATCAGTTTCATTTATGGATGTTGTTGTTTGTTGCTTTTGAAAGTTAGGAAAAGTACTTATTGATATTATAGATGTTTCAATAAGGGAATTTTCTCACGAAGATTTATCAGGTGAAAATTCTTTGGATACCACATTTTCATCGACGAGTACATACGAAATTATGCTACTTACCGGTTAAAGAGGAAGAGGTCCGTATTTGAATGTTTTAAAATTGAATATAAGCTAAATAACACGAGACAGGTGCATGTGTTTTTAAAATACATAGGGACATTCCATCACAAGCGAACTAGACTGGGGAGAACACATCAACAACATTACCAATACCAGCAAAGCCAGCAGAAGCCTTGGTTTCCTCCACCGAAACCTACACGTCGGCTCTAAAAGCACCAAAGAGCAAGCATACAAAACTCTTGTAAGGCCCCAACTAGAATACGCCACAACAGTATGGGACCCATATCATCAAAAACATATTGTCCCATATTGACCAAATTGAAAAAGTTCAAAGGAGGGCTGCGCGATACGTCACCAAGTGCCACAGAAACAGATCATGTGTCACGGACATGATTAACAAATTTTAGTTGGAAAAGCCTCCAAGAACAACGCAGAGAGGCCAGGCTTGCAATGATGTATAAGATCGTCAACGACAAAGTAGCCATCAACAAAGACATGTACCTCCAAAAAACAACTAGACTATCCAGACACACACAACAGCATGGATACATAGTACAAACAGCAACCAAAGACTGCAGGAAATGGTCCTTCTTTGTGAACACCACCAAAGACTGGAACAAGCTTCCCCTGGAGATCGCCACAGCACAGTCATTTGAGAAATTCAAATCTCAAATGACCAACCTTACAAACTAAAGATGAACATTTGCTTTTATCCTGTTTTTAACCATGCTGAACCAAATTTGCCAGTATATTCAGAAAGTTGAATGTGGGCAGTATATGGAAGAAGAAGAAGAAGAAGATTTTGTAAACTGGTAAGCCACACCTCTTTTATTCACTAGGAATGGGGGAGTGGGCCTTACTGGTCATTGCATGAATCATGTGTCTGTGGTTTTACTGTTTAATACCTAAGATATGATCATTAGTGAGGGGTGAAATGGGAATGCTCATTTCCAAATTCTGCTTTTCTGACTGTAATATTTTTGGTGACATCCTGTTAGTCCAACAACCATTATTCTGACATCCCATTATTCCGACAGCCCATTACTTCGACATCTCATTACTCCGACATCCCATTATTTTGACATCCCATTATTCTGACAGCTCATATAATCCCAACAATGCATCTGTCATAAGTGTATGGGTCAATTTTCTCCAAAAGACCAACTCAGTTCTCGATAATATTTGTGGTTGTCCGTTTAGATTCCAATTATTCTTCTCATGTGGGATATTTGTCTCAATGCCTTGGAGTTGATACACATGTTTATTGGAACTGCTGAGTCCTTATCCTCGTCCCCCCTTTTTTTGTTTTACGTGTCCGGGTACTTTATTTGTCTTTTATTTTGGCGTTTGTGTGTTCATCATCATGATCATGTTCATTGTCTTTCTGTGCTGTTCTAGTCCCAAGTTTTGTTTATGTCTCTTGAGTTTACCTTCTTTTTACCAGATCTTCGGTTCCCCCCTTTCTTATCAAGGAAGTGAGGTTTCGCTACTATTAACTACATGAATAAATATATCAGAGTTGGATAATCCTACCTGCCCTCTTTGGTTGTAACACTTTCAACCCTGTGTATCACTCAACTCAGTTTTATTTAATTTTGTCATGGAAAATGGCGAGAAATGAAACATCAGTTAAAGATGAGGAAAATCACGAGACAAATACAAACCCAGAGAAGAGAAAAAAACATGACAAATAGGATGAAGTAGGTGTTCCGAAAAGATTAGCAATTCCTGCTTCTACCAAGACACCCACTGTGGGTTTGATGAATGTCATTTTCGGGAACATGAATCCACGAAATACGTAGACAGTACATGGCACTTCCAAGGATGGGGTAAAAACGTTTAAGATTTACTTCCTTCTCAATGATTCTAGTTCCATTTCAAACACACACAAATGTAAATGATTAAAACGAAACCTGATCAGAAGCTAGGGAGTTGTCGAAGGACAACAAGATACACTCGAACAATTGTATGCTCAACAGGGATAGCAAATAGTCCCTTGTGGGCGAGGGTCCTGATGAAGAGAGTGTAAAATAACAAGATATTAAAGCTGAAGATGTGCATGGAAAATAACAATACAAACACAAGTAAAACATAAAAGAGTTTGATGTATTCTGTAGTTTTTTATAGGCCTTTCACCATCTTTGTGAACGTTTCAAACAATATTCATGACTCGCATGTAGTTTCTACTTCCTCTGGAAATTTCAGGACTGTAGATCTGTTATATTTTTCCTAAAATTGATTGTATGCAGTCATGGCAGTGATCATGGTGATCCCCTGATAATGCAAATTTTATGGCAACAGAAATCATCATAAATAAAATGTTTTTTTCTTAATTAAAATTGAGAATGGAAATGAGGAATGTGTCAAAGAGACAGCAACCCGACCATAGAACAGACAACAGCAGAAGGTCACCAACAGGTCTTCAATGCAGCGAGAAATTCCCACACCCGGAGGCGTCCTTCAGCTGGCCCCTAAACAAATATATATACTAGTTCAGTGATAATGAATGCCATACTAAACTCCAAATTGTACACAAGAAACTAAAATTAAAAATAATACAAGACTAACAAAGGCTAGAGGCTCCTGACTTGGGACAGGTGCAAAAATGCGGCGGGGTTAAACATGTTTATGAGATCTCAACCCTCCCCCTATACCTCTGGCCAATGTAGAAAAGTAAACGCATAACAATACGCACATTAAAATTCAGTTCAAGAGAAGTCCAAGTCTGATGTCAGAAGATGTAACCCAAGAAAATAAACAAAATGACATTAATACATAAATAACAACAGACTACTAGCAGTTAACTGACATGCCAGCTCCAGACTTCAATTAAACTGATTGAAAGATTATGTCTTCATCATATGAATATCAGGCACAATCCTTCCCGTTAGGGGTTTAGTATCATACCATCATAACATATATGAGAAGAACATAACCCGTTTCATGCCAACAACTGGTTTTTAAATAAATGTGTTTAGTTCCGATGCAAAGACCCTATAAGTGAATCAATATTAACGCCAAAATATGCAATCTTTAATGACCTGACAACAGTATCGTAACTATATCCCTTCTTAATAAGTCTATTTAAAGGTTTTGTTAGCTTCAGAGGTGAATACTGACATTTTTGTGCTTTATAAAGAATATTTCCATAAAAAATTGGATGTGAAATACCTGAACGTATAAGAAGTCTGCATGTAGAGCTATATTTACGAATGATGTCCTTATACCGATGATAAAATTTAGTAAATGTTTTGACTAGTTTGTGATATCGAAAACCCTGGTGTAATAATTTTTCTGTAATACATAAATTTCTCTCGTTAAAATCTAAAACATTGTTACATACACGAGCGAATCGAACAAGTTGAGATATATAAACACCGTAAGATGGTGACAAGGGAACGTCACCATCTAAAAATGGATAATTAACGATAGGAAATGAAAAATCATATCTTTTATCATATATTTTAGTATTAAGCTTTCTGTTAATGATATAGATATCAAGATCGAGGAAAGGGCAGTGGTCATTGTAAATATTAGCTTTATTTAAAGTAAGTTCAACAGGATAAATTTCTTTAGTATACATACTGAAGTCGTCATTGTTTGATTTAAATAAAATTATTTGATTCATAAATAAAGCCCCAAAAAGTGTATAATTTGAACACTGTGTATCCATGGTATCTGTTGAATAAATACTGTTTCTAAAAAAATATTATTTTCTTGAAATAATTTGAAAAAAAGTTTGCTTCTGCTAACTATAAAACCTTTTTTAGTCCTCACTGACGAAGTCGAAGGGGACTTTAGGTTTGCATTCCGTCCGTCTGTCTGTCCGTCTGTCTGTCTGTCTGTCCTTCTGTCAGTCCGGCAAATCAGTTTTCCACACTTTTTTTCTTCATGCTTGAAGATATTGATTTGATATTTGTTATATTGTTTTATCATGACAAGTTACAGATCAAATTCGAATTTTGTTCCGGTCTGATAATTTTGTGCAGAGTTATGGTCCTTGGACTTGGAAAATTCACTCAAATATTCAGTTTTCCACACTTTTTTTCGTCATTCTTGAAGATATTGATTTAATAATTGGTACATTATTTAATCATGACCAGTTACAGATCAAGTTCGAATTTTGTTCCAGTCTGATAATTTTGTGCAGAGTTATGGTCCTTGGACTTAGAAAATTCACTCAAATAATCAGTTTTCCGCACTTTTTTTCGTCATGCTGGAAGATATTGATTTGATAATTGGTATATAGTTTTATCATGACAAGTGACAGACCAAGTTTGAATTTTGTTTAGGTTTGATGATTTTTTTGCAGAGTTATGGTCCTTGGATTTAGAAAATTCACTTAAATTAACAGTTTTCCGCACTTTATTTCGTCATGCTTGAAGATATTGACTTGATATTTGTTATATAGTTTACACCATGATAAGTTATAGATCAAGTTAGCATTTTGTTCCAGTACAATTAATTTTTAACCGGTAGGGGACTTATGTATTGCCATGCAATACTCTCAGACAAGGTTGGGTGGTAAATACCGCCCCGGACAATACTCCTCAAGTGGTCAATACTGGCAAATACTGGTCGATTGAAATTTTCATGGTGGTTTTTCTATTTATTGAAATAAAAAAATGATAAAAAGTAAGATATATTTAAACTTTTATCTTTTGGCATGTTTCAGCTGATATAAATGAATGAATTTGATATGTTTTATTAATTTTTACCACTTATACCTACTAATTTAGTCCTTATAAGTTATGATATTACATATTTTAGATATATATAAAGAATTGACAAATTAATTATTACAACATTTTTCAATCAAGATATTTTTTATTGAAAATGCATAATTCTTACAGGTACATAAAACTACAGGTAAATGAAGTTACAGGTGTGAAAATTTAATTACTATAAAAACAACAGCCCCCAATAAATGATGAAAAAACATGGTTGAAAGTAATAAAAGTGATATTTGAAGACTCACTTAAACAATAAAATATTTCCTGTCTATTAAATAAGAGACAAAAATCATCTTTATGCAGGAATAGGAAGGTATGAAGGACCTTTACTCTTATGGCTGAACTGTAATTTATGTTTTAAACCTAAAAATATAAAATGTAGTATAAATTTTACCTTTACATAATCAATATTTACATGATTTACATACACATAGTACAACCATCTTGACTTTAAGCACCAAACTGAAACATGAAGACCCTATTTGGAACTTCTATACAATATAAGACAACAACAAAACCAGTGCAAAATGTAATGATTGCAATGCTATAGTCAGTACGTGCAAAAGCCACCTGATGAGTTTCCTTGCCAGGGACGAAACATTTTTATCTTATGTACTAATAAATCATTGTAAATCACTGTTTATTAAGAATTTACAATACAAATAGAAATGAGAACATTTAAAATGACTTTAACACTTTCATTATTTCATTACTAAAAGTAATTGACCAGATAAAGAGTGGTTTTTATAGTAATGTCCACTCAAAATTTCAATCGACCAGTATTTGCCAGTATTTCCCGGTATTTACCGCTGGCATGGTCAATACTAGTATTGACCGCTTTTTTGCCAACCTTGCTCTCAGAATGTTTGTTTGTTTTGTATTTTTAATGGAAAAAATAGACTCTAGAAAAAAACTGTGTATCTGTGTGTGTCTTTATTGTGCTGTGTTTGTCTTTGTCAAATGATTTCCCTTCTCTTGGACTAACGCTTGGTTTGTCTACCATTATTTGTTAGGTCAAGAAAATTGTTGAGGCAAAATGACTGTGCATAACACTAATGTATAGATTTTTGTTTTGATTT